TGGAGGGCTTTGTTTTAAGGTACGTTTCACATAATGTGCTAGTATGCGATGTATAACAGGACATTATGACATTACCTTGCAGGGGACTTTTTAATATTTTTTACTTTCCTGCAGTTTACTAACCTAACCTTAAGGTAAGGTTAGGTTCACACTCAAGCAGGTAGATGTGGGTGCAGGAATCACAGCTGTTCCTGCAATCACCAGCAGCCAAACTGCACTGCACTACACTGCCATTCATTTTTAACGGCACCCCACACATCTCAACCCGCAGTGCATTTGCGGGTGTGGGAACCGCAGATTTTTCTGTGGCTGTGTTTTTTAAATGGTGCAGACCCCTTTTTTGTGGGAAATGCAGGCACAGCAGCCCATTCAAATAAATAGACTGTCAAACGCGGGCCGCAAACCCTCTTAAGTGTGAACCTAGCCTCAGGATTACCCAGAAGCACCAACTATTTCCTGGACTGAGATGATGGTGCCTGTGCAGTTCTTGACTAGGGTCTGACACAGATTAGCCCCTGATGCAACTTTGCAACTTACTACAAAGTTGCAATGTTTAAGTCTGTTCAAATAAACTATTTTGGTAAAGAACAGTAATCATTAATGACAAAGTTCACCTAATCAGCTCTGCATATCCTTATCATAGCTTTTATTTCCATACACTCATATACATTGGGAACACTGAACAGTCTATTCCAAATCAAAACATGAAGAAAAATGTTTCAAATTTGTTATTACTTTACAGAAAGTGAAGAAAAAGGAATATTAGACTGTTAAAAAAATAGCAGTGTCTGCATTTTTCTTTACAAACTCAAACATTTACTGTATAAACTGAAAAATGCTTGAAAAGTTTGCTTTCCTGTGAATCACTGAACTAATATTTAGTTGTATAACCACTGTTTTTGAGAACTGCTTCACAGATGTGTTGCATGGAGCCGACCAACTTCTGACCAGGGGCGGACTGACAACTCAAGGGGCCCCTGGGTAATAGGGGATCATGGGGACCCTGCGTTCTTGCCCACACTCCAAAAAACAGGTACTAGGGGCATTTCATAGGGCCCCCTACTGACCCCGAGCCCTCGGGCAGTGCCCGAGAGCTCGAATGGTCAGTCCGCCCCTGCTTCTGGCACCTGTGAACAGGTATTCCAGCCCAGGACGATTGCACGACATTCCACAATTCCTCTGCATTTCATTTTTACCTCAGAAACAGCATTTTGATGTCACCCCACAATTTTTCTTTTGGATTAAGTTCCGGGGATTGGGCTGGCCACTCCATAACATTAATCTTGTTGGTCTGGAACCAAGATGTGTCACGTTTACTGGTGTGTTTAGAGTTGATGTGTTGTTGAAACATCCATTTCTATGTTTAGGCCAGTCAATGTGTTCTTTGGCAAATTATAACCTCTTCAGCACGTAATTGTTTTTCAACAATGGAACTTTGGGGGGCTTCTTGTCAATAGCTCGGCTTTGACAAGACGTCTTCTAATTGTTACAGTACTTACAGGTAATTTTAGACCATCTTTGATCACCCTGCAACTGCTCTTTGGCTAAGTCTTTGCCATTTTGGCTATTCTTCAATCCATCTGAATGTTAGTTTTCCATTTTCTTCCACATCTTTCTGGTTTTGGTTGCCATTTTAAGGCATTTGAGATAATTTTAGCTGAGCAGCCTATCAGTTTCTGCATTCTTTATATGTTTGCCCCTCTCCAATCAACGTTTCAATCAAAGTACGCTGTTCTTTTGAACAATCTCTGGAATGATCCTTTTTTTTTTTTTCAGAAAGAAAAATTCTGATTTTCAGAAAGTAACACACTATACCCAGCATGTACAACATTTGCTGCCTTCATCATTAAATAAGTGACACCTGTTTGACACCTGATTTTTCACAGACTGAATAACCTCACTAAATGAACTCTACCCTGCTATTATTTTGAACATGCCCCTTTCAATTAGTGATTCAATTACACAGAATCAGCAGCATGCATGTCATGACTACTGGGTCTGCTGGTTTTCTATTACTCTACTACACCTACTAGTAAATTATTTGTATGTAGAAATATAATTTATACCAAAAGCAGTGATTGATCTGGTCAGTGATGTTGGACTGCTATTATTTTGAACACAACTGTGCCTGTCACAGACAGGTGCATGAATTTGTCGCTACTGGGCATGGACGTTGGGGTATCCATTTTGGACCCTCCTTCCTCAGTGTGCTCCCTCCCTCTCTGGTCACTGCACCCTTAAAGTGATTGTATTATTTTTAAATGGCAAACATGTCATACTTACCTGTTCTGTGCAAAGCTTTGCACAGAGTAGCCCCAATCCTCCTCTTGTGGAAGCTGCTTCCTATTGTGACACACGTGTGGCTTAATGCCGAGCTGGGCTGAGTGCATCTATTAACACACAATTCGGCTCAGCCCTGCCCCACCTTAGTGGATTTGATTGACAGTAGCTGAAGCCAATAGCTCCTTCTGCTGCCTCCATGTGCAGTGAGGAAAGAGATAGAGAGAGCAGTGCCACTGCTCTCAGGCACAGCACTGGATTGCGGTTAGGTTTAGGTAAGTATTTAGGGGAAACCCTTAGGTTTTTACAATCACTTTAACAATGGCAGGCACATGCAGTAGGAGGTGTCCAATGGGAAACTGGGAGTTCCCTATCAAGTCTGCCTGGCTGTTGATTGACAGCACATTTCAGTGAGCCAAAGCCGCTGTTCAGTCCAGTAGAATCTTTCGAATCCTCCCACTGTTTTGTGCTGTCATTCAAGAGTATGGTGGACCTGATGGGGAACTAGTCTCTTGTTTCCTCATCAGGATCCACTCATCCAGTTACACAAGTCTTTTCCCAAATGTGGGTATTGCCATATTTGGGTAGTCACATTAGCACTATCCCCTGGAAGGAGGCAGATGAGTAATCCGGTATTGTAAAAGCACTATTTTACTGTAACATAAGGTCAGCTTTATAAAAAAATCATCAAAGCCATCATGCTGTAAGTTTATAAAGTGGAGTAGTTTTAAAAGCTAAGTATGTATAATTAGTAATGTACACTATATTGCCAAAAGTATTGGAACGCCTGACTTTACATGCACATTAACTTTAATGGCATCCCAGTCTTAATCCGTAGGGTTCAGTATTGAGTTGGCCCACCCTTTGCATCTATAACAGCTTCAACTCTTCTGGGAAGGCTGTCCTCAAGGTTTAGGAGTGTGGTCTATGGGAATGTTTGACCATTCTTCCAGAAGCGCATTTGTGAGGTCAGGCACTGATGTCCCATGAGAAAGCCTGGCTCACAGTCTTCACTCTAATTCAGCGGTTCTCAACCTGGGGGTCGCGACCCCTTTGGGGGTCGAACGACCATTTCCCAGGGGTCGCCTAAGACCATCGGAAAACACATATTTCCGATGGTCTTAGGAACCGAGACGCCGCTCCTGTCTCCAGCGATGTGTGGGCGGGATGATATGCTGCCCCTGTCACCGCCTCCTCACCGCTGATTGGCCACCGGAACTGTAGCTCAGGAGAGGCACACAGGCGGCCAATCACCGGCGAGAAGGTGGAGCTTGGAGAGGAGGAGCCGAGCGGCAGCGCGCGGAGATCGAAGAAGATCGAGGGAGCTGCAGGAACGAGTGAAGAGAGAGGCCAGAGAAGGAAGACAGCTGACAGGTAAGTGCAAATTTTGCTGCTGCAGCCAGGTATGCAGGCTGTAGATGGGAGAGGGAGAGAGCGAGCCCAGGCTGGAGCAGGAGTCAGCAAGGTAAGTATCATTGGTGTCAGTGGGAGGGATAGTGCCCCATCATTTGTGTCACTAATACCAACGATGGGGCACTATTCCTCCCCCCACTGACACCAACGATGGGGCACTATTCCTCCCCCCACTGACACCAACGATGGGGCACTATTCCTCCCCCCACTGACACCAACGATGGGGCACTATTCCTCCCCCCACTGACACCAACGATGGGGCACTATTCCTCCCCCCACTGACACCAACGATGGGGCACTATTCCTCCCCCCACTGACACCAACGATGGGGCACTATTCCTCCCCCCACTGACACCAACGATGGGGCACTATTCCTCCCCCCACTGACACCAACGATGGGGCACTATTCCTCCCCCCACTGACACCCAACGATGGGGCACTATTCCTCCTCCCACTGACACCGACAATGGGGCACTATTCCTCCCCCACTGACACGCCAATGATGGGGCACTATTCCTCCCACTGACGCCAATGATGGGGCACTATTCTTCCCACTGACACCAATGATGGGGCACTATTCCTCCCACTGACACCAATGATGGGACACTATTCCTCCCACTGATACCAACGATGGGACACTATTCATCCAACTGACATCAGTGATGGGGCGCTAGTCCTCCCACTGCAAAATTACAGTTATGAAGTAGCAACGAAAATAATTTTATGGTTGGGGGTCACCACAACATGAGGAACTGTATTAAGGGGTCGCGGCATTAGAAAGGTTGAGAACCACTGCTCTAATTCATCCCAAAGGTGTTCTGTCAGGTTGAGGTCAGGGCTCTGGGGTGAAGGAATGTGACTGGCCTGCACAAACTCACTCATCCATGTCTTTATGGACCTTGCTTTGTGCACTGGTGTGCAGTCATGTTGGAACAGGAAGGGGCCATCCCCAAACTGCTCCCATAAAGTTGGGAGCATGAAATTGTCCAAAATGTCTTAATATGCTGACCCCTTAAGAGTTCCCTTCACTGGAAGTAAGGGGCCAAGCCCAACCCCTGAAAAGCAACCGCACACCATAATCCCCCCCCACCAAACTTTACACTTGGCACAATGCAGTCAGGCAAATACCGTTCTGCTGGCAAACGCCAAACCCAGACACATCCATCAGATTGCCAGACAGAGAAGCGTGATTCATCACTCCAGAGAACACGTCTTTACTGCTCTAGAGTCCAGTGGTGGCTTGCTTTACACCACTGCATCCAATGCTGTGCATTGCACTTGGTGATGTAAAGCTTGGATGCAGCTGCTCGGCCATGGAAACCCATTCCATGAAGCTCTCCACGCACTGTTACTGTGCTAATCTGAAGGACACACAAAGTTTGGAGGTCTTTAGCCATTGACTCTGTAGATAGTTGGCAACTTCTGCGCACTGTGTGCTTCAGCATGCGCTGACCCAGTTCTGTCATTTTACATGGTCTACCACTTTGTGGATGAGTTGTTGGTGTTCTCAGTTGCTTCCACTTTGTTATAACAGCACTAACAGTTGACCATGAAATATTTAGTAGCAAGAACATTTTACGGATGGACTCTGTCAGGAATGGACTCAGCACTGGTGGTGGGACTCACCTGCCGTGTGGGCTGCAGTACCAGGGCTGACCAGCGGGTGCTCTCAGCAGCCAGAAGCTCACTCCTGCAGTCAGCCAACACCTGAAGCTGATTGCAGGAAGTGTATTTAAGGAATGACCAGGCCTGTGATCAGGGCCTTGGTGTATGTTTCCCATGAGCCCCTGTACCTGGTATCCTGTGTTCCTGCCTCGTTGCTGACCCTGCTTTGATCCTGACCTCTGCTGACCGTCTCCTGATTAACCCCTGGCTTGCCTGACTACTCTTTTGCTTGACCCCTGGTATCGCGCTGCCCGCAACCTGCTGAACCTGGCTTGTGACCCCGACCATTCTCTGCTCGCTCCTCTTGTACCTCGCTGCCCGCACGATATCGACTTGGCCTGCCTGACTACGCTTACTTCACCCGACGATCCATCCCGCATGGATCACTTCAGTAAGTCTGCCTGCCTCTTCCCATCAGACTCCGTTCCCGCACTCCCCTGCCAGTACTCTCTACCACAGCCGGACGCACTCAGGGGTCGCGACCTGGTTCCAGTCTGCACGAAGTCCATCCCCACCATCAGGGGCCCTGGTGAACAGTAGGCTGGGACTTAGACCCCGAGCCCTGAGGAAATCCGTGCTGTGGGCTCAGCCTGCCTGACCGCTCCACCTCTCCAGCCCTGACTGCACTGGTACCTATTAGTTTAAGGTTTATTGCACCTGGTTGTACATATTTATGTAAGTGTTGAGTTTGGTTGTTTGCACTGCGTTTATGTTTGTGTTGCCTTTAATAAATTATATTGTGTTACACGCTATACCTGAAGTCTGTGTTTCCCTGTGTCGGTCCACACACCTCTGGTCATACCTGGAGCCCTGACAGACTCATTGTAAAGTTGGCAACATATCAAGGTACCACGCTTGAATTCACTGAGCTCCTGAGAGCGACCCATTCTTTCACAAATGTTTGTAGAAGCAGTCTGCATGCCTAGGTACTTGATTTTATAAACCTGTGGCCATTGAGGTGATTGGATTACCTTAATCCAATGATTTGGAGGGGTGTCCCAAAACGTTTTTGCAATATATGAACAGATCTGAACCTTTTACCTTATTACATAAAAAAGCAAGTGAAAGCTAACCACAACAAGAAATACCCACCTAATGAATAAATAAATGATTTGGAATAACTCACTTCTAACTGTTTTGAGCCACTGAAATACATTTACCACATTAAAAGCAAAACTGACACTAGGCAAGGCAGTGCCAATTTGCAATGTCAATGATTAAACATAGGGTTGTGCTTCAGCAGTATTAAGTAGCATCCAAAGTATAAAATTAGAAATAACTCAGACACAACTGTTGAAGTGACTAAAAGCCATTTGCCGTAGTAAAAGGAAAATTACTGAAAACCATTAAAGACAAATATAAAGGTTGCAATGAAACATGGTTGCCTTGCCTCCTGTTTGCAATTTAGAGAACCATATACCAGTCAAAGTTTACTCAAAATAATCTGCATTTACAAGAGTGTGCTGACTGCAGTTTTTGTATTCAACTTTAAAGAGTACTTTTTTCGAAAATAGAAGAATGAGCAAATTAATGAAGGAAGTCATCATAAATTACACTTTTGCTGATATCCCTCTCAGTAAAATAAGGGATTCCCGAAGATCATGTCCAATATAAGACCTCAATCTGTTTTTTTTTGTTTTTTTTACACTTTTCACCTTCAAAACACACTATTGCAAGATTAAGAAAAACTTTATATGCTATAGAAGGTTTGTATATGTATCAGATTGCAAGTTTAGGTCACATAAAATCCTATATCAGCGAGCAGGACAGTTCTCACATTCTATATGTTTCATATAAGTCTTCATTCACACTAAAATCATTATTGATATATTTGGATGAAAGTACAGGACAAGATCATTTTCTTTGAAACCAAGCAGTTCAATGTTAAGGGCTTATTCATTGTATGTGTAAAAGTGCTGTATTTTTGCTTCCAGGAGGAACAGGTGTTTCATTCAGCCACAGTCAGCAGCCTGTTAAAAATCAATAACAGGTAGAAAGAAGATTCTATGGATCTTCCCATGCATCTGTCCCTGTACAAATGAAAATGCTTAAACATAAAGGAAGATCCGTACAGCCAATGTGTCTTTCAGCCTGTCATTAATTTTTAACAGGCTGCTGGCCAGGGCTATACAGAACACCTGTGGCTCCCACACGCATAAACAAGACCCTTCTGTATGCTATTTGGGCCCCTGTGCCCCAGTGAATTAGCCATAAGTTGAACATTATCAACATCAGCCAACTGTGCTACAGTTTTCAAAGCTTCTGGTAGAATGTCCCGTGTTTGATCTGGCTAATCAGTTGGGGGGGGGGGGGTGTCACGATCAGGGGTCAGACTCAAAGACCAGTTGCTATAGCAGTGGAAAGACTCACCTGAAACCAGCAGGATAGGTACACAGGCAAGTCACCGCGGCGGAGGAATGGGATCACCCGAGGTGCAGAGTTTAACCGATTTTCACCAGAGCTCCTGATGGTGGAGATGGATTTTGCTGCATGTTAGCACAAGGTTGTGGTCCTCAGGATCATCCTACCAGGAGGCGATCAAGCGGAGGTCCAGTAGCGTATAAGCAGGTAAGGATCAAACGGAAGCGTGGTCAGTAAACAAGCCAAGGTCAGTAATGAGCAGTCGCAGGTTGGGATCAGGCAGAAGCATAGTCAAGAACAAGCCAAGGGTCAATAACGAGTAGTAGCAAAATATGGATAATAACAGAGAGGACAAGGAGCAAGATACTGGCTGGAGAGCACAATAATCTGGCAAACAGGAAGTGCAGAGACATGGCTTATATTAGGAAGTTTATGGGAGGAGCAACGGGTTCAAGGTTTATGACAAACAAGGTCAAGGTAGGATCATCCAAATAATTGTCCAGGGAGCTGTCCAGCATTCCAGGTGGCTCAGCAAGAAGAAACATTGCCTCTCACTGCAGAAGGCCCAGGTTTGGGCCCAGGCTCTGACAGGGGGTCTGATCGCTTGATCAATGACTACATTGAAAACCTGATATTGAAAATGTCTGAGAACTTTAGAAAGGGGTGCATCTTGTGAAAATTCTCCAGGCATTCTTTTTTTGTTGTGTGAGCCTTTTCTGAGTTTAATGACTTTCAATTTCAGAATACTCCAGAAGGGTACTGCTTGCATTTGTGGAGTCCACCGGTATACAGTAGTTAGGTTTGAAAAGAAATCCCTAAGCATCAGAATTCAGTCTTTGGCAATTTCCTTTATTCTCCATGTTTGAAAACGAGCTAATCCACGTGTTTGCAGAAGCACTAACATTGGACTATCAATATTAGAGATTTGCATAAGCATGAATTAGATAAGCAAGGTTTCATGTTCAAGCATGAAGCAGATGTTTGCTCTCACTCACAGCTTTATTGTGAAATCTAGGGGAATCAAAAATATATTCCAAACAGTACAGTAGAATGGTAAACAAATCCTTTGATTGGTCAACAGTGGAATCAAAGATGGTGCACAGTGCTTTTGAGTTATTTCAGCAGTTTCACCAATTTTCTTAAGTCTAGAGAGCTTTTCATGGCCATGACCCCGTTCAATCAAAATAGAAGAGCATTTGCATGACTAAGAAAAACTCAGCAAATTTTTCAAGCGTGAGGAGAGACATATCATATGACATCAGTAATCACCAAATAAAGCAGCATGAGTATAGCACCCTGTATTTAAAGAACTTTATGGCATCGTTATAATGTGGACCTGTACTATAGCTCCCACTTAAATCTGCACTGCCATCAAATTAAGTAGCCAATAATATTAACCTCTCGAGTCCCCCAAACCTTTACACCCTACATGCCCTTTTGTCCGAAGGTGTTTTTTTTTTTTCATTTGTGGCAATCTCTTGGTTAGGCATGTAGCAATTGTACGTACAAATATGGACGCGAACATCCATTTTGGTAAAGACCCTCCATCTTGTATCATTTCTCACTCCAAATCAGCTACCCCCTCCCTCTCTGTTGAGTGACACGTGGTCCTTGTGTGCTGGGTTCAGAAGTGCACAGGACACGGCTGGATATCCTTCATGGTTGTAAACCAAATTAGCTGATGCCAGTGTGTCTGTCCCACTCTTGCTCTGAAGCCGATCGTAAAGCTATAAACCCATCAGTCACTGGACTTCAAACGCATTATGAAATAGCAGTAAGACCTGCATCCCATGTGAAAACACTTTTTCATGCAATTTTGTAATTTCTCATAGGTAATACATACCAGAATACAAAACATATATTCAGAGAGGTCACTTTAATACCAGTCACCTGATACCTTACACCCCTAGTTAAAGTCTACAGGAGAGTAGAAAGCCATATAGTTCTAACTGAAATAGTAAGATATGGCATATTTGATGTCTGGACATTCAGGATAACATTCTGCATATCAATCTACTAGTGGCTAGGCTGCTACATGTACCTAGGGAATGTTATTGACCATGATATAAACTGGGAGGGATTTGGTCATAGCCTGAGTTCCCCGCCTAAAACACCCCTCCCCAAATGAAGCGATTGGTTCTCTGCTTTAAGGAGACACTCTGCTGGGTTCCTAGAAAAAGGCTGTTATACTTGGAGAAGGAAGTTGAAGAATTCTCCCTTTTAACATCAGGAACCAACTTTGGGAGAAAAGGCACCCTTTTGCTCAGGACCCTTGAAGCTGCTTAAACCAAGGCTGACGGCAAGTATCCTACTTCTCTAAACTTCTTTCTGTTATCTCTCTGTTGTGGTATTGCTCTTTGTATTTATATATATATATATATATATATATATATATATATATATATATATTGGCTACATCTTTTTCTGTAAATATTTTTATTGCACCATTTTGACCTTTTTAGTAATAAATCTTATTTTCTGAAAAGTGTTGAACTGTTTCTAAAGCTCTTTAATGCAAACTAAGAATCCCTGTCTCTGAGGAGTGCTACTGTGTGTTTTAAACCTCTATATACATCTGCCGTCGGTGACCGTGTGTATACAGATGATTATTCAAACATCATAGTGTTACTGCTAAGATTGGCGAGTTTCTTCCTTCTCTGTACAAAAAGGTAGTGGTGGCAGTGTGAAGGGTTAATTGCGTAATTAACCTGACCCAATAACAATCCCTCTCAGGCTGCGGTACATAGATTGTCATCCATTAGCTGGAAAATCTTTGTGCAGGGTGCAGCTGGGCGTGGCATTGTTACGTACGTGACAGTGCGGTTTTAGATTGGCTAGTCCTTCGGTCACAAGTCGGGGGAGTAGGGCTAGGGGTGGTCTGACACAGCGTCCCTCACAATGCAATCTTTACATAATTTGCACATCCTCATATATTTAGCTCAAAATATAAAATCTTTGGATTAAAATGATATCACATTAGTGTTACTTATGCAATGTAGCAGAAAGGTAAAGCTTACTGTGAACATATGGGTTTTATTTTAGGAATTCTATATTCCCCTTCCAATGCTACACTATGACACATGCTGAAGGATAGAAAAAGAAACAGTTTTCAGAAATGTTTTTATCATAAAATATTATTACCATTCTCTCAGAGATTATTCATTCACTGCAACATCCTGTGTACTGTCCATTTACACACTGAATGTATCAGTTTCTCTAACATCATGGCTTATTTCTCGTTTCACAATGCTTCCCATGATGGAGTTCAACTGAATGACTGTTTTGCTTAACAAGGTTACCAGACCACCTCTAAAATTGGGGTGCTCTGTCTTTGTTTTACTATTCAGCATCTCAACCTCTTCTATATGCTTGTGGAAAATGATGTTATATTTTCTAAGATGAAAGCTCATTAAAATTCCAATTTTTTTAGATCAAGGATACATAAAGTAGAAGCGGCTTCATCCTTCTCTAGCAAGGCCTAGTTTGGCAAAGTACAGTGATTACAATTAGTCTCCTAACAGTCTTACGGTTTTTGAAGTATTAACAATAATTAAAATTTCAATATTTACCCCATTTTCTGGAAACAGATATGCATTTGCCAATGCCTGATGTTACTGAGATTCCGCATGTTCCTTTACATGTTCATATATATATTTAATACAATCAAATTGCATATTCACCAA